CTTATCCTTCCCGCTGATTCCGAAAATGCAGCTTGGAGAGCGCGAAAACGCCGAATATGGGCTTTTTGAAAGCCATTCATTTGAATTCTGACGCATGCCGCCAAGGTGAAGACGCAAAGTCTTTGTGGGCTGTTTACCGCGGTACTGCACTTGTGATGCATTCGCTCGATTGGAGAACGAAGAAGATTTGCGTGCATGGTACCTTTCGAATCCACGTTTCGCAAACGACATCGTCTTGTTCTCGAAGTCTATCAGCGAAGCCGTAAAGATGCTCAACAACTTGAACGAAAGCAGGAGAAGGATTGGATTCAGGTTTAATTGAAAGAACACGCAATCACGAGAAATACCTAGTGCAGTGAAGGTCAGTTATTCATAGATGGATCACCGATAGAGGAGATTAATTTGCTTTAATTTACGTTTACCTGGGACGCGTCATCAACATGACGACATGAATGCTGAACTAAGCCGAAGACAGAGAGCAGCTTGATCAGCATTTGGTCTTCTGAGGGAGGCTACGGACAACCTTGCTGGTCCGGAATTGCGCGTTCGTCTTTTCAATGCTACACTTCTCCCAGCTTTGTGTTACGCCGCCGTAATATAGGCTGATACATCTGCAACTGTGCAGACACTGAGAACATCACACAAAACACCCGTAAGAAAACTTTTGAAGAAAATTAAGTTTAAACAGTACCGACTTGCAATCCGGAGCTCCGACCTCAGGCAACTTTCGCTTTCAGAAGATCCAGCAGAGTACGTGTAGAAGAATAGACATGGATGTGTTGATTATACATTGAGAAGAGCAGACGAAAGATAGAAAAAAAGAACGTTGGGATGGATTCAGGATCCTCGCAACGCCAACGTGGAAGACTATCGAAGAGATGGTGTGATTTTGTTGCCCATGTAAACCAGCCGCGTCAGCAGTTAGAGTTGATTTAGGATCGACCAGCAGCAATCGCAACCACATACAAGACGTTCGTGGATGACGTCTGCACGATACCGTAACGAAGTTCAAAAGTTGGAGCCCGCACGACGTGTAAGGAAGGACCAATCAAGTAATCTAAGTAATTAAAAGCAAAACACGTATCTGCGAACTTCCTAATGTCTACGGATTTCGACTTGAAGCGCCGCTACCATTAACTATGTACCTAGGTTTGCTGCAGCATGGCTACTTTGAGCGGACTTGTTTTACTGGGCTGGGCAGTAACCTTCGCAGTTCATAATTGTTAAAGGTGACTGAATTCGCATTTGAGCAACTGTCAAAAAATTAAATGACCTTAAGGTAACGAATAACATGTTCTGATATTTGTCACAGAGCACCAAATCAGCTCTTTCAAAAAGTTGCATTTACAGTGTCGCATTACTTCCGGACCGCCAACAATGTGGTTATGTGTTCTGTTTGTGTTTTCATCTTTTTCAGAATTGAAGCTCAGATGAATTTTACGAATTTCATAACATATTTGTGCTGATAAAATCTTAGATATACTAATCAACTGGCTTGTCACTTTTCGCTGCAAGTAAAACAAAAATCTCGCAAAATTGGTTCGCTCCGGACGTTCTTCTTTCTTATAGTTATCCACAATAGCTGGATGTTTCCGAAAAGTTTAATGAGATTGAAAAAGGGTACTCGCCAAAAAGGCAATAATTTACCAGCTGAATAGACATTATGTAAAGAAGACGATAGAAAAGCTTTGCCTCTCAATAATAGCCGCATAGAACGCATTTTTCCTACATAGTGCAAACTTAGTAGCATTGATGGTTAATAGCGAATTTTCGTCAAGTAATTTCTGAGAAAAAAGGTAATCGAAGTATTGTACTTCTGTGTCACCTAATAGAAAATTCAATTGTAGGAAGGAATTGCCTACGTGTTAAGAGCTGTGGAGAATGACCAACTCTT